GTGTTAGGCGCCCAGCGGGGGAGCCATCCAGACCTCAACCTTGCCCACACGTGCTCACTCTCTCCCTCTCACCTCTCTCCCTCCCTCTCTTCTCCCCTCTCACCCTTCACCTTCACCCCCGAAACACCCAACAACACCTGGAAGATAATACCAAGGTGTGTGGTATCTATTTGGGAGTGTAGTTTAGCTTGGAAAGTATTTAAACGAGATAAATAAGAGAGGTGGTGGCGGGAGGGTAGCACGGAACAGCCTGACCTACGAGATGGCAACACTACACCAAATCAAGTTTAGGCTCTGTGGTCCTTAATTGACTTATGTACATAGTTCACGGTGTGGGATCAGTGTATCACCCAGCAGGAGAGAGAGAGAGAGAGAGAGATTTGAGAGAGAGTGTGAGAGAGAGAGAGAGATAAAAAAAAGAACGAATTTAAGCAAGAAAACAAAACAAAATCTGGTTTGTGAGTCGTTGAAGGTCTCTCTCTCTCTCTCTCTCTCTCTCTCTCTCTCTCTCTCTCTCTCTCTCTCTCACCGGCTGTAGTAAAAGGATGTTGCAGGTGGAGAGAGAAGACTTGCAATGATTGTTATGGTCGAGGCGTGTTGCATGAATTGTTGCCGCTGAGTCTGGCCAAGAATATATGTGTACCAAGTGTCCTCCGCTGACGTTCACTGGCTTATATTTTCCTCCTTAATGTACTTGAGAGTCTCATTTAAAGCCAAATTTGTGTCTCTGTCTGGCCTCCCCTTTCCTCCCCCTTTACCCCCAAACCCCTACTTTCTCCTACCCCTTTTAACTCCCTCCCTCCCTTCCTTCCCCCTTAGTGCCTCGTTTTCTCCTGGTTGAGGGTGAAGGAGGGAGAGGGGGGAGGGAGGAAGGAGGGGGCAAGGAGAGAAGGAAGGATCAGGGAGGGGTGAGGAAAGGGGGCGCAGGGAGAGAGGAGGAAGGAGAGAGAGAGAGAAGTAACACGTTAAGAATTCTGATACAACCTAAGACATATTGTTGTTTTTGTCGGCGTCTTTCTTAACCAGTTTTAATATTATTGTTGTCGTGGTGGTGTGGTGATGGTGGTGGGGATGGTGATAGTGATGGTAGTAGTGTGGTGATGGTGGTGGGGGGTTGTTATGGTAGTATTGTGATGATGGTAATGATGGTAGTAGTAGTAATGGTGGTGGTGGTGAGGGCGAGCCATACACCAATTTATCAACTAACTAGTATCCCAAAACGACCTGAATAAACTGTTAGTATTATTAATTAAGTTATGAGAAACTCCAATAATACTCGCCTATGATTGGATGACTCGAATGACTGAACCTGATTGGCTGTGAACTCTGTACGTTATTGGAAACTGAAGAGAAATCCTTTGCTCGTTGTGTGTGTGTGTGTGTATGTTTATATGCTTTCATGTGTGTGTCTGTGTCCTGATAATTATGATAGCAACAACAATAACAATAACAGCAAAACAATAGGAAATACAAACCACAACAAACACAAAACCAATTATAAATTCGAGAATACAAATAAAAACAACTCATTTTAATTATAATTCCTTCACTAAGAGAGAATTTACCGTAAGATTACCCGAGAATTTTACATTAGAATCTACGGTATTTTCTCTCCACATCTCAAGAAATTAACTAACTTCAAAAATTTAATTATTTTAGTATGAAAAAAAGTCTCATGATTTTTTATTTATTTTATTATTTCTTGGAAGATCTTTTAAAAATCTTACGACAAAAATATCACAATGTAATAAATCTTAAGTTATTACAGAAAAATTATAAAATACAGAACGTTATTTTTGGTATTAATTTTATAGACAAATATTACAAAATCTTTAAAAAAAAATTAATCATACAAATGTGGTACAAAAATTTTAAAGAATTTTAAATCCAACAAAAATATTACAAATCGTTTACAAAGTTTGCTAGGAGACCAAGTTTACCTATAACACTACATACTAGGAGACCAAGTTTACCTATAACACTACATACTAGGAGACCAAGTTTACCTAGGAGACCTCAACAAGGATACCCACCGTTTCTTAACCCAGGACGAACTAAGACTCTGGCCCTCAGTAAGTCACTCAAGGGTGTAATCTTCGCCTTATATGACTCCCACCACCTGAATTCCACACACTAATCCTCGTCTGTACTGTGATAAAAAAAACACCAACTTGTATAGCATAATATAAAGGAATTTTGGTTGAATTAAAGGGATTTTATGGTTGAATTTGGGGAGATTTGGGTAGTGGTTGATTTTAAGAGTATTTTAAGGATATATTGTCGATTTTAAGGGATTTGGGGGTAATATGGTTGATTTTAAGGGATTTTTGGGGTATGGTTGAATTTAAGGGTATTTTGGGGTTAATATTGTTGATTTTAAGGGATTTTTGGGGTATGGTTGAATTTAAGGGTATTTTTGGGTAATATGGTTGAATTTAAGGGTACTTTGGGGTTAATAGTGTTAATTTTAAGGGATTTTGGGGGTAATAGTTGACTTTTAGGATTTTTTTAATAAATATGACTGTAAATTATTTTTCACATTACGAAATATAATGGACTTGTAACTATACTTATTAATCATACGGGTTACATAATAAAGTTTTTAAGTATTACGAAAAACATATCTTGGTTACATAATACTGTTTTAAGTATTACAAAAAATGTCATACGGGTTACATAATATTGTTTTAAGTATTATAAAACATATCATGGTTACATAATACTGTTTTAAGTGTTACAAAAAATATATCCTGGTTACATAATACAGTTTTAAGTATTACAAAAACATACTTGGCTAAAGGTACACATGGGGGGGGGGGAGGTTAGAATAAAAATGATGTTATTACCGACAAACTTACCTCATAAGATTGCTAAACCACCCCACATCTCATCTCCTAATTCTCTTTCTCTGTTTCTCTCTGTCTCTCTCTGGTTGTCTCTCTCTAGCTGTCTGTCTGTCTCTTTCTCACCCTCCTCTCTCTCTCTCTCTCTCTCTCTCTCTCTCGTGTTTTTTTGTACTACGTGAGAATAACAGGCGGTACAGCACGAGGGAGGGAGGGAGTGAGGGAGTGAGGGAGGGCGGGCTGGCAGTGGAGTAGCGAGGTCGGGCGTGCCTTGGTTTGGGCCACCCTCTCCGCCCGCCGACCTGCGCACACCTCCAATTAAGACTGTGCCCGCGGACATTACCGGCAACCGCCCGCCGACCGCTTCTCCCTCCCTTCATCCTTCCCTCCTTCGTCCTCTTCTTCCTTCTCCTTCTTTCTTTCTTTCTTTTTCTTTATTATTCCATCTCTCTCTCTCTCTCTCTCTCTCTCTCTCTCTCTCTCTCTCTGTACTCTCCCATACAGGTAACTAACCAGGTGACCCTCAGACCATAACTCTCCTCTCCACCAATACATCAAAACTGCAATATATTTCCCCGTGGCGCAGAGTACCACAGTGATCCGCTTGTTTATCAATGCACAGTACTTTTATGGGGGTGGTACTACTAGTTCCTCGGGAGGGTAGTTGTGGTGGTATTGTTACGTGTAGTTGTGGTAGTTTGGTGGTAATATTGGTTACTTGTAGTTGTGGTAGATATGGTATTCATTGGTATGGTAGGTATGGTAGATGGGATAGGTATGGTAGACGCATCAGGTATGGTAGGGGGAGGGACAGGTATGGTTATTCCCATGTGCAGGTGTCATTTATGGTCATGGTAATTACTCCCTGCCATAGTTCCATTGTCCAACAGTATATCGTTAACTATCGTGGCTTGGCTATCGTCGACACATCTTGGGGAAGTCTCTGTGATTTGTGTGTGTGCGTGCGTGCGTGTGTGTGTGTGTGTGTGTGTGTGTGTGTGTGTGTCATTTGTCATTCTGAAGTGGTTATTGTTTCTCTTCTTTCCATATTAATTCTGATGGTCTCTCTCTCTCTCTCTCTCTCTCTCTCTCTTCCTTCCTTTTATTCTTCTTTCCTTATTTTTAAACCCAATTTACCATTTTTATTTATTTATTTATTTATTTATTTATTGTATAGACTTTTTTTACTGTATTTTCATAAACCGTGTTAAACCTTTTAGGAACGATGGTTTAAGTTATAAAATGTTATGATAATCTAATCTGTAATATTCAAAGGGTTAAACCATTATCCTCAAAGAGTTAAACCATTATATCTAAAGGTTTAAACCATTATCCTCAAAGGGTTAAACCATCATCCTAAAAGGGTTAAACCTTTATTTTAAATATTTCTAAGATAACATTCATATTTATACCATGTTTTAGCCGTTAACTTGCATTATATAATACTAATATATTCTTCACTATATTTATGAATAATTGTCTGATAATAATTGTCAACAAAATTTCTGTATATCAGTTTTATTTAACGAATGTGATGTTAACAACTTTATTATTACTAAACTTTTTGTTTATTCTATTACAAGTGCTTAACGCTACGATATTTGAACATTTATTGTTGGACGTAAAATGTTAATAATATACAAGTGAATTTTGTCTTAATTCCAAGTTGTTAATATTTCTGTATCGTTACGTTATCCTGTCTGTTTTATTTATTATCTATTATTTTCTCATCTAGATATTATTATTTCATTGGTGAATATATTAGGTTCAGGAGATGTGTCTACCTGTGAGGGTAGGTGGTCCAGCGCCTCAATCACAGGTGTTGTGTTTCAGTAGATTAGTGTGAGTTGAGGACCTCCCACGTTCACCAGGAACCTGATGGTTTAGGCCATGAGGTGTGTAGGGGCGTGGGTGGCCAATGATCAGGTCAGAGTCATGACCTTTGGGGCAAAAGTGAGGGAGGGGCGGGGCTACTCTCGCCATTGGTCAAGAAGGATGTGGATGTTTACCAATAAGTGAGGGTGACGGGCAGGTAGTGGGCCTCTCTGACCGCTCGTCTACCTGACCCTCATTAGACCAGGTGAACGCGGGGTATTTCCTTTTCCAATCTTCTCACTCTTGATGCTCGAGTCTAACGTGTTGTTTCCTCTTCCTCAGGACCACCCGTCTCTACGAGGGACCCCGCTGGCCATGCTGGCAGCGCAGTGCAACAAATTGACCAGCAAGAGCCCACCGCCGCTAGCAGACGCCGCAGTAGGGAAAGGTTTCCACCCGTGGAAGAAGAGTCCAGTTGGGGCAGCCACAGGGTCGGGGGGCGGAGCCTCCGGGGTGGGCACGGGGCAAAGGTCAGGCCCCGCCTCTACGGCCAGTAGTGGTCACGGCCCAGCCTCCTCCTCCAGCAGTTACCAGCGCCCAGTCGTGACGACCAGTGCGGCCTGCTCCTACCCCCAGCCCTCTGACCTGTACTTCCCCTCCGCGTCCTCGTCTGGAGGACAGTCGGAGTCTGCCCAGGCGTCTCTCTTGTCCAAGGTTGACGGGTCCTCACACATCCCCGCTATGAGCTCCATGTACTCACGCGTGGCGGGCGTCACACACCCCTACGAGTCTTGGCCCTTCAACAGTATGGCAGGGGCTGCCTCAGCCATCAAGCCAGAGGTATCAGCAGTCAACTCGCTAAACACAACAAGCTGGTGGGACATGCACAGTGCAGCCGCCGCCTCGGCTGGCTCCTGGTTAGACATGTCAGGAGCAACGTCAGCGGGTTTGTCAGGCGTAGCCGGCATGTCACAGATGGCCAACTACCCGACGGGTGACTACTCCACACTCTCGCACACACTAGCCGCCTCCAACACGGCCCACCTCCTGTCCTCGGGACAACATTTGTTGCAGGACACGTACAAATCTATGCTACCCACACAGGGAATGGCCCCGGCAATGGGCTCGCCGTTCGGGCTGGGCCAGCCCACGTTGCCGCAGGTGCCCTCCCCACGCTCCCAGCGGCGCTACACCGGCCGCGCTACCTGCGACTGCCCCAACTGTCAGGAAGCTGATCGTCTGGGGCCAGCTGGGGCACACCTCCGGAAAAGGAACATCCACTCGTGCCATATCCCCGGCTGCGGGAAGGTCTACGGCAAGACGTCGCATCTGAAGGCGCATCTCCGCTGGCACACGGGTGAGCGCCCTTTCGTTTGCAACTGGCTTTTTTGCGGGAAAAGGTTCACGCGCTCAGATGAACTACAGCGTCATCTCCGAACCCACACAGGTGAGAAGCGGTTCGCGTGTCCCGTGTGCAACAAGAGGTTCATGCGGTCGGACCACCTCAGCAAGCACGTCAAGACGCACAACGCCTGCAGCGCTGGCAAGAAGAACAGCGACGGGAGTGAGTGTGACAGCGAGAACAGCCAGAGCGAGCCTCCCTCAGTGTCCTCTCCCGCCTCTGTCAACACACCGCCCATCAACACCCCCACCACACCCACCGCCCAGGCCATGAGTCCGCCCGCGCCAGACCTCAAACCTATTGTGTGAGGGGCTCGGTCGTGGGCGGCCTCAGGACCTCTCCCGACTACTCCCGGCAGCTTCCAGCCCGCCTCCTACAGTTGGAGAGCGGTGCTGGTGGCTAAGCAGCAGCAGCAGGGTGCAGAGGGGCGCCTGCCGCGGGCTGTATACCCCCCTTGTGATAGTGGGCGTCCCTGCGGCGTCCCTGGTGGTGGTGGAGTGTCAGTGCAGGACGCGGGCCCCGCCTTGAGCAGGGTGCCGGGCCCCCAGTATCAGGCCTGGTACGGGCCCCCCCAGTACCAGGCCACAGTGTCAGGCTGGTTGAGGGGCCCTCCTTAGTCCCAGGTCTCAGTGCCAAGCCGGGTGCTGGCCCCCACGCTCAGAGCCAGGCCTTAGTGCCAAGCCGGGTGCAGGGCCCTCCCTCCCCCCTCCCCTCAAAGCCGGCCCCAGTGTCAGGCGGGGCCCGTGGGGTCTGCCTGACTCCCCAGTCACCCCATCAGCATGTGCCAAATGTTGCGCCCTTCTATGAGCCGCGTGTGTGTAAAGTGTGTACAGTGTTTCCTAACGTAAGATGACTTGTAAACTAACTATGATGATGGGCATTTGTACCAGTGTTTGTCCGTGTACGGTTCACCCTTAACTCTTCTTTGGTTCTTATACAATAACACATCTTATTTTTACACGATATTTTTGTTGTATTTTATTAACTCCACCTCACACTGCGCTAACAAGGTCATCCATCACCCACTACTGAGAAGAATCACAGAGTCGAGCCCAACCCACTGCTACCATGTGTGTGTCTTGCGTCCCGTGATGTGGGCGGCGTGGGCGTGATGCCAAAAGATGAGGAGGTGGTGTGGGGGCCATGGGCGGGCGTGGGTGTGTGTGTGTGTGGGTGTGTGTGTGTGTGTGTGTGTCTCCCCCACTCTTGTTCGTGACGCCCACATTACCTGGGTCCCACAGCCAACACAGGTGACTCATTAATGAAGGTAGGAGATCTATTGAAACTGTTAACTCTAGGGTTGTGTAGTGTGCTTCATATACGTGACCTCTAATGACCTCGTGTGACCTCTATTGACCGCGTTTGACCTCTAATGACCGCAATTCAATCGGTAGAAACCTATACCAATTTAAATATTAAAAACAATATATAAATTATTTAGATTTTGATTGATATAAAAACATTTAAAAATAATGAATTCATGATTGAAAAAACCCTAGACAGTACTTAAAAGAATTCACCTCATAATCGACTTAAAAAGAGTTCGTTTATAGTATTACAAGACAGAGATAAGTGTCTTGAATGAAGTTGAAAGGATGAGGAGAATTAACTTGGTGTGAGTAATATATATTAGCGTTTTACTAAATAGCTCCAGCTTGGCATAATTGGGGTTATAAAGTAATCAAAGACCAACGAGACAGGAGCGAGATAACGAGATGCAGCATTCACCTGGACAGTGTTTAGGGATAATCACCTCCACACGCTAATTGGGGTCATTACCTGCCTGAGGATTAGCTTGTCTGATCTTTGTCTTGCAGATGATAATAGCAAGTGTGTGTGTCTGTGTCGGTATCTCGTAGTGCGTGTGTGTGTGTGTGTCTGTTTGAGGGAGAAGTGTGTAAAATAGGGAGAGATTTAGGGAGTGTAAGGGAGGACGGACAATGTCATTTCAGGGAGATCAGTGTTAAAATAGGGAGTGTGAAATAGGGATCTTTTAATCACTAAGGGAGAAATGTTTAGTCTAAGGGAGATTTTAACTGTTTAAGGGAGAATATCTAACTGAAGTGAAATTATAAAAATGTTTATTAATGTTATATTGGATATTTTGACCGTGATAAATGTATATGTTTATAGTGATTGAATGTTGATAAAATAATGTGTATGGTGACGTAGAATGTTGATGTGTATAGTGACGAAGAATGTTGATAAAATAATGTGTATAGTGACAAAGAATGTTGATAATGCGTATAATGACGAAGAATGTTGATAGAAAAATGTGTATGGTGAATGAATGTTGATAAAATAATGTGTATGGTGACGAAGAATGTTGATAGAATAATGTGTATAATGACTGAATGTTGATAGAATGATGTGTATAGTGACGAAGAATGTTGATAATGCGTATAGTGACGAAGAATGTTGATAGAATAATGTGTATGGTAACGAAGAATGTTGATAGAATAATGTGTACAGTGACAAAGAATGTTGATAAGATAATGTGTATAGTGACGAAGAATGTTTATAATGTGTGTAGTAACGAAGAATGTTGATAAATAATGAGCATAGTGACGAAGAATGTTGATAGAATAATGTGAAGGGTGACTGAATGTTGATAAATAATGTGTATAGTAACGAAGAATGCTGATAATGTGTATAGTGACGGAGAATGTTGACAAGATGTGCATAGTGACGAAGAATGTTGATAGAATGATGTGTATGATGATTGAATGTTGATAAATAATGTGTATAGTGACGAAGAATGTTGATAGAATGATGTGTATGATGATTGAATGTTGATAAATAATGTGTATGGTGACGAAGAATGTTGATAATGTGTATAGTGGCGAAGAATGTTAATAGAATAATGTGAATTGTGAGTGAATGTTGATAAATAGTGCGTATAGTGACGAAGGATATTGTGTTGTATATAGTGTCCATCTAAATTGTCAATAACAGGTGACCATAAGAGAATATTGGTAGTAGTTTGTTGACAGATATAATTACAGGTAGAGTTAGATACAAAATACAGGTACAAAATACAGGTACAGTGATTGATGAGTGACCAATCATATTATGTTGTGAACTGAATGTTGACCAATCAGGTGGTGTTATATTGAGAACAGTGACCAATCGTGTTGCGTTCTATAGTGAGGAGTAACCAATCATGTTGTGTTATATTGTGAACAGTGACCAATCGCGATGCATTATATCTTGGGTAGTGACCAATCATATTGTATTATACCGTGAGCAGTGACCAATCACGTTGTGGTATATCATAAATAATCACCAATGACGTGTTTATGTACGCCATTTAATTAAACCAATTAATTCTCAAAATTTCAGTCAATTAAGCATAGTATTTTTTTTAATATTTCAACCAACTCGTCAAATAATTCCCCAAATGTTTAATAAAATATAAAAATTGAAGACGAACTTAAATTTCACCTCAAATTGAAAAAAAAAAATATTTAAAACTTGTAAACAAAATTTGAGAAAAAATCAATGACACTAAATTTAACTAGCAAAATTAACACACTTAGGAGGATCTTATTCAGTCATTGAAATATAGTCTGAAATATATTGTCATGAATTTGATCTATATGAGCAAACTTCTTCCCTATATGGTTTATAATGATTTTACCTCGAATAAGATCTCTTGAAAATACTAAATGAAATATATCCTCATAATATAATTGAACTATACTATGGAATAATACAATGACTGAAAAAAGATTCTCATAAGTGTGTCGTAAAATAGTTCTTTAAGTGAGATATATTTAATTTTAACCATCTAATTAATCTCTGGGTGAAATATATTCTATAATGAGTCACTGTGATTTTGTTAAGATATTCCAGGACGTAATTATAATCAATAGAGAAAAATCATAGTTAAATTCTAAATGGTTTTTATGGTATAGTAATCACGTCCTAAAGTGTACACAATCATACTTAAACATGGTTGTCTGTCTGTCTGTCTGTCTACTATTCACTGCTTCAACATTACCTAAAAATATTACAGACATCAGTGATATTTTTCTGACGCTCATGAGAGAGAGAGAGAGAGAGAGAGAGAGAGATTTATCCGTGGAATGAGAAGGAGAGAGAGGGAGATTCAATACCCCCCCCCCTCTCTCTCTCTCTCTCTCAATATCTCTTCATTTCCAAGACATTTGTTCCGAATTACTCGACTCGTAGGGGGGGAGGAAGGGACGGTACACACTAGTAGCCAATTACAGTCACTATTTTGCCCATTTTACCCCATTAATCCGGCCCATTTTGCTTCCTCTCCCCACCTTCGTCCGTCTTCCTTGTTCTCTTACCCCTCACCATTCCCCCTCCCTCCCCCTCATTCCCCACCCCCACCCCCTACACCATGGGCAATCAGTGTGGGCTGTACACGATGGAGTTCCGCATTCATAGAACCTCTCTGGAGATTAGCTGCGGAGTGAAGGTTGGGTTAGGGTTGACGATTAGCTGTTATTTGATTAGCTGCGGAGTGAAGATTAGATTAGGGTTGAAGATTAGCTGTGGGATAAAGATTAACTGTGGTAAAGGTAACTAGTGGTATATATCTGACGCCTTCAATAGACTGTCATATATCAGTCAGAATCTTAATGAGTGGCTCCAGGCAATGTCAGTTTAATCCTTCAACTCAGCAGCTCAAGTCAATCAATCTCATTAAGTCAATCAGTTACCCAATCTCAGTCAATTCCTCAATGAGCCAGTTCAAAAGGTCAGTCAAGAGCTATAATTAGTCTATCCTTTAATCAGTCAATCAGTGAGTCAGTCAATCGCTCTACCAATCAATTATCCAATCAGCCAACCCAGCAAACAACCAGTCAACCACAACATTGTCTATAAGTCAGCCAATCTCGGGTGTCTGTGTGGTCAACCCTCCCTCCCCTTCCCTCCTTCCCTTCTCCCTCCCTCTCACCATCCTTCTCTTCTCTCCCTCCTTCCTCCCTCCCCCCCTCTCTCCTTACCTCCTATCCCTCCCTCCCTCCCTCTCCTCCCTAATGATCAGAGGCCAACTACCGCTCATTCAATCAGCTAATTCTTTGTGGCGTAATCCTGGGTAACTACTTAACTCCCCTCGGCAGTGTTTCCCCTCACTCCCCTCAACCACCACTGAGGGGAGCACGTGTGGGTTAGGTTAGGTTAGTATGGAGGGTGAGGGGTAGGTAAGGGTGAGTGGGGTGAGGGGGAGAGTGTGTGAGGGGGAAAGAATGCGTGTTTGTGTGTGTGTGTGAGGCAGAAGAGAGTCTATAAGGATGAGGAGGAGAGAGGGAGGAAGGGAGAGAAGGGGAAGGGAGATAGTAAGGGAGGGGAAGAATCAAGACCTGATTAAATTTACCCAATTGGTGATAACGTGAACATCAGTCAGTTTAGTGAGGGGTGAAGGAGAGAGGAGGAGGAGAGAGAGGAGAGAGGAAGGAGAGAGGAAAAATCACAGCTCCTCTATTAGATTTACTGAACTGGTGACATGAGTCGATTTAGTGAGGGAGGGAGGGAGGGAGGGGGACGAGTAAGGGAGAGGAGAAGGAGGTATAGCGAGGGGGAGAGGAGGAGGCGGTAAGGGGAGAGGGCGAGGGGAGGATAATAATTAGAGAACATGGACTGGGAGGGGAGAAATCAGGGGAGTACGAGAGATAGGTGAGAGGAGGAGGAGAAGCAAGAGGAGGGAAATGAGCATGAGGGAAAGAAGTAACAGAAGCAGGAGGAGGAGAAACAGTAAGAGAAGGAACAGGAGAAGGAGGACGAGGAAGAGAAAGAGGAAGAACACCCCTCAATCACTAAACATATGTGGCTCTAAATACTGAGCACATGTGAACCTCGTCAGCAGGATGGGGAGCGAAAACCACTCTGAAAGGGGGAAAAAAGAGAGGGAAAGGGGGGGATAGATGACTGTAAATAGAAAGGGAAGAATGCGGAAGATGGATGAGAGAGAGGGAGAGTGGGGAGAGAGGTTGTTAGAGAGAGTGTGTAAAAGAGAGAGAGAGAGGGAGGGGGGTAGAGTGTGTGAAAGTGTGTGTGATATAGAGTGAAGAAACAGTGAGAGAGAGGGAGAAAGCGTGAATGAGTGAATGAGAGAGAGTGAAAGAGAGAGGAAGATTCAGAGAGTTAACATATCCAAACAAAAGTCCAAACACGATGATTAAGACACCATTTAACCCCCCCAAAAAATCTTAAAACAAGAGAAAATTATTTAACATTACTTAAAAAAAAGGTCAATTGAATAAAAAAAAATTCTACCTCCTTAATTGATGTCAAATTAATCGATCACCTAAAGTACCTGGAAATATTAACCAATAGCTAATATTTTATTTTTTCGAAACTACAAAAAAATAATCATCTTTGCAAATTATTTTAGCACATGTAGACGATTTACTTTTTGCAAATTTATAAAAGTAATTATTGCGGATGTGCGAAAATTCTCTTAAAATTTACAAGTCGGACACCTTAAAACTTCAATCTCAAGATGGTTGGTGATTATCCTTGTATAATTCCTTCAGTAATTGGTCTTATTCCTGACTTTCTTCTATATAATTTTAAAAGCAATTAGTGTGAATAAGAGCGATTAAGAGTGGGGGAAAGAGCGGGAGCAGGAAGAAGAGATAATATTTAATAAGAGTTGTTTTTGTGAGTGGTGGGTGCTTCGTAACCCTGGTAGTCGAAGCATGGAAAACTAAGACCGAATGAACGGGTGCTTCGTAAACCATGGTAACCCTGGTAGTCGAAGCATGGAAAACTAAGACCGAATGAACGGGTGCTTCGTAAACCATGGTAGTAGAAGCGCCTAACACAAAACAAAAATAACAATAATATTCATACCCTCATGTAACCAAAATACGCTGACCAATCTCCAGTAATTGCCGATGCGTTTCCTATGTACAGTAAAGAACAGAATTACCTGGATACTTTTTTAGCACTATCTGGCATCCACTTAAGGGTCATGTAGGAGGGAGGGAGGGTGAGGGAGAGAGGGAGAAAATAATATTCAAACCTTTTATAATGAAATTCTTATCATTTATATATTTGCTCAAAAAAAGTTTCTTGCCGGAGAGGGTCGATGAGTCTCCAAATGAACACTGTGACTCCTGTTGTCTCGGTAGGGTTGTCAAAATCCTTCGTCCGTTGTGTCATATTGTCTCACACAAAATTGTAGAGATACTTTTTGGAGCTAATTACGTGGGTTCTTTACATAGTGTTCATTTTGACGTAATTTATAATGAATATGTGCGTCAATCACACATACGAACCACAAGTATCATGAAAGGTATTGGCAAGTGTCTAAGTACTTTTGATCACAGTTGTACGTCACGGTAACTCGCTAAAGTCGACCACGGTAACTCGCTAAAGTCGGCCACGGTAACTCGCTATAGTCGACCACGGTAACTCGCTATAGTCGACCACGGTAACTCGCTATAGTCGACCACGGTAACTCGCTAAAGTCGGCTATGGCAACGGACTTTATTCGATCACGGTCATATAAGAAGCACACTACGATCCTGAGTTGATTGTTTCAGATCTGTGTTAGGGCAGATTCAAACTATTGATATTGGTGTTATAACTCGTAAGGTACAGCAGAGTCAGATCACTAATACAGCAGAGTCAGATCACTAATACAGCAGAGTCAGATCACTAATACAGCAGAGTCAGATCACTAATACAGCAGAGTCAGATCACTAATACAGCAGAGTCAGATCACTAATACAGCAGAGTCAGGTCACTAATACAGCAGAGTCAGATCACTAATACAGCAGAGTCAGAGTACAGCAGATCAGATCTAATACAGCAGAGCCAGATCACTAATACAGCAGAGTCAGATCACTAATACAGCAGAGTCAGATCACTAATACAGCAGAGTCAGATCACTAATACAGCAGAGTCAGATCACTAATACAGCAGAGTCAGATCACTAATACAGCAGAGTCAGATCACTAATACAGCAGAGTCAGATCACTAATACAGCAGAGTCAGATCACTAATACAGCAGAGTCAGATCACTAATACAGCAGAGTCAGATCACTAATACAGCAGAGTCAGATCACTAATACAGCAGAGTCAGATCACTAATACAGCCGAGTCAGGTCACTAATACAGCAGAGTCAGATCATGGAGTAACAAGCTTGGCAGCAGGCCTTCCTTCCCATCATCACGGGCGTAGACAAACACACGCTAACAGTAGAGCAAAGATGGTGTTGTGTGTATGTGTGTGTGCGTGTTATGTGTGTGTGTGTGTTTATAATGCCCACACATTATTCTAATCCTTACATATATATATATATATTCTCTTGATATACACTGATTCTATATTATTTTTCTATATATTGGAGAGGCTCATATCTCAATCATATATAAACTGGGATGTGATTTTAAAAGATGTATTAATTAATTTATTAACAGATGGTTAAAATTGGTAAGCTATATACAATGTGGTCATTTTTTTAATAGTTTTAGTTTTTTTTCACTTGAATATAATTTTTGGATATATAAATTTTGAGTATAAATTAAATAAATTTGAAATATATAAAATTAAGTATATTTGAATTAATTTCAGTCAGATTTTAAATTTTAAATCAATATATTTTTTTTAATAAACATAAATTGTTGACGTCAGTATAATTGTCTTACCATTTATGTAATTGTTATTTTATTTCCAACATTTCAGTGATTTTTTTGATAATTTTACGAGTTTGCGGTCAGTAATAGAGTTCCTGAGTGTTTGTGACGACAAGTCTATTTCCCATAATGCTTTTTGTTATTTATCTTTATTTAGTCTTTAATAATTATCACTGAATGGGCGTAAGTTACTGTGGTGGAGCCTACTCAGCCACACCACGCCTTTTGGTATAGTATTATCCACACACACACACACACACACACACACACACTGTTACCTCCCAGATGCACAACTCAAAATGTTTTATGTGGCAACTGTGATTCTTTCTCCCTTTCTTTATCTGTCTCTCTCTCTCTCTCTCTTTTACCACAGCTGATCTTACACTCTTGAACCACCTTGAAGATGAATTTATGGAGATTCATTCATAAACTTAAAGATTTATTCATAAATTTAGGATATTAATTTGTGAGCTTTCTCTTAGTTGTGGAATTCATATACCAATGTTTTTTTTTCTTTTATTCAATTTGATGGTAGTGAAAGTTATCCATGACACACACACACACACACACACACACACACACACACACACACACATAAGTAGGAACATACACTTATCAAGGTAGGTGGTCTCAGGAGATGGAAAGATCAGCTGATTTACCAAAACAAAAAACATAACACAATTCCTAGATGAAAAAAACAAAAGTAAATTGAAAGTTGAATCAATAATTACTTTCTCTTTCTCTCTCTTTTTAACTTTCTATTTATTAACGATGAATAATTAATCTACCACCGCCATCAAGTGCTCATAAATCTAATTGTATAATAAGATACATAAAAATACATTTATTCAAGAAGTAAGAATATAAGACGGTGTGTTAAATGAGGCCCCAGTTCGGTGTGTCGTTTGTGTCTCTAGTGCTCATTATTCTCAGCAAGTACTCTTCTTTTCTCAGCACCTACCTTGTCTCAGCACCTTCTTCCTAGTACCCGTCTTCCTCTCAGCATTATCCTCCTTCCTAGTACCTTCATCATCCCAGCACTTTCCTCCCAGCACCCCCCTCCTCCCTCTCTCATCACCACCTCCCAGCGCCCGTTTCTCAATCACCCAACCCTGAGTATTACATAACAAGTAATCCCCCTTAACTTACATAAATCCCCAAACAGATTACTTTTATACCACTTGATTTCAGTGGATTACTATCATTGCACACTGAGCATTTACCAAACACACATACAACCAATTTCTCGTCTTTATTTTCCACTCAGCTGAGAATCATTTGATAGACACGGTTAAGAATGTATAACAACCTCTATTGACGAGTCCAATTATCTGAGTACTGTTATAGAGTCCAATTATCTGAGTACTATTATAGAGATTATAGTAGGCTTCAGGTAGTGTGGTCATCAGTATTATATCTGTTTATATATTACCACGGCATCAAGAGTCGTATGATTTATTTTTTTTTTAGTTTAGTTAACCATCATAATTTTATTCAAGGTAAAAAAACTGGAGTTACTAAATTCTTCAGATTGATTTAAGAATTTTTTTTTATTGTTTTTGTAATGGAGAGACCATTTACCTGGAGCCTATGGTACTTCTGAATTCATGGTACCATTTCCCCGGGTACCATACCATGATCGGGTATTTTTGTGCAGGAACTCTTGTAAAAGGTCCATAACAGTGTGTATGTTGCTCCTCTCGGCTGCTGTTATCTGTAGACGAGAGAGAAGCTAAATAACTCCTTCAGTGACTTCTTCAGGTCCCTGTTCAGGTGTTCTTGTTCAAGTACCTGTGTTCAGGTCCCTTGTTCAGGCCTGCCTGTTCAGGTATCTCAATTCAGGTTATCTTGTTCAGGTACTACTGGTCAGGTTCAGGTACCTTGTTCAATTTATCTCTCTGTAGACTGTCCTTGTACAGGTACACTTGTTCATTTGGCTTTTGACTGATTGTCTTTGTACATGAACATCTACAGGTATGTGTGTTCAGTCCAAATGTCTTTGTTTATTGCATTTGTACATGAACACTATTATTATGTTCAGTACAATGGTCTTTCTTCACCGTATTTGTACATGAACATCTCTATATGTTCAGTCCAGGTGCTATTGTTCATATGTCTTGTTCAAGTGAACCTGTTGAGGTGTGTGGGAGCAGATGACTTTGCTCAGGTACTAACAACCAAATGTCCATGATTATTATTATACTTTTTTTTTGCTCTTTTTGTTCAAATTCAGTGTTCAGGCTCCCTTGTTCAAGTGTTCCTGTTCATTTCCAGTTGTTCAGGTGCCGGGTGGTGGGCGGGGCATACTATTGGTGGCACAAACATTATTTAAAATATATTTATAAAATCTTGTCGCCCTGAGCCAAAGCTTTGAACACATGTGAAAGAATATCACTGTGTGTGTGTGTGTTAAGAGGTGAGGACTATTCTAACACTGGTGGTATAGTTCATCCCAAGTGTTCAACGCCTGGTGAACAGTATTTCTAGATATTTTCAATTTATCGTACCAGTGCACACACGCATACACGTTGGAGGATGTTTTGAACATGTGTTAATGCTTTGAACATGGGCTAAAGTTTTGAAAATATGCTAGAGCTTTGAACATGGGCTATAGCTTTGAACATGGGCTAAAGCTTTGAATATGTGTTGAAGCTTTGAACATGGGCTAAAGCTTTAAACATTGCTAAATTTTTTGATATCTTGTTTTAGCTTTGAACATAGGTTAAAGCTTTGAACATGGGCTAAAGCTTTTAACATGGACTGTAGCTTTGAACATATGCCAGGGTTTTGAATATATGGCAAAGCTTTGAACATGGGATAAAAGCTTTGAACATGTATCTATGCTTTAAAAATGTACTAATGCTTTGAACACGTAATTAATCTCAGAACATGTACTAAAATTTTTGAACAATATTCCTCAATACAACAAAAACAAGTTCAAAACATGTTCTAAAGGTTTAAGACGTGTACCTAAGCTTTGAACATGATAAAAAAAAGTTTGAATATGTTCATTCCCCTTTGAACATGTATTCATAGCTGAAGAAATGGAGAGATGATGACTTAAGAATATACACAATGACACACACACACACACACACACACACACACACACACACACACACACACACACACATACAAACATTATTCAGTGTTCAATTGTTCAATGTAATGATGAACAACTACCTATAACAATGTACAACTAGAGAGATTAATTATTCATCACTGTACACTTGATAAAAGATACACACACACACACACACACACACACACAGACACACACACCACCCTTAGCCTTGTACAAATCAGTCATTGTTTTTTTTTGTTTTTTGTTTGTTTCTTTGTCACTCTGTATTCACTCCGTCATCATCTCACCATTTCTTACAGCCGGATGTACACACCCCCCCCTCCCCTCCTAGTGTTATTTTCAGGTATGATTCTGTTACTACATTTGTATAATACCAAGCCCAGTTGATCAGTGTCACGTGCGAATTGTAAGTACACTCAAATTGTTATTTCATTGCCTTACCTTCCCTCCACTTCCCTCCACTCCCCTCCACTTCCCTCCATTCCCTCCCTATCCCCATTCATCTCTTGATATCTCCTAAGCATTAATTGGGAAGATGGTGTTTAACCCTATGGTAGAATAAGGGTGGAAATCCCATTAGTTTTGCAGTCACTCAAGATTTAAGAGGTTAGGTTATTATGAGTCCATCTTACCCTCGAAAAATTAAGATATTGGTCATTTTCTTGTTTTTTTATTTTATTTATTTATTTTTTTTGGTTCAGTTTTGACTTTGAATTTAAGATTTTTCCCTAAATTATAGTTCAATATTTTTTATTCTTAATATTAACACATCCACCCCAGTATACCCTCCCCTCCTCTCTCCTCCCCTCCCCATCTCCCCTCTTCTCCCCTCACGTGCCCCTGCCTCACCCCCGCTGTGCCAGTCCCCCCCTGCAGTCTTGCCTAGGACCATGTAGGGGGTGACTCTGCCAAATACACCAATCAAAAAATATAAAAAAATCTTTAAAAAGTACTAAATGCGATTAATATAGGAGTGTCTGGTAATGCCACCTGCTGCCTAGCCTACTCCCTCCCTCCAGGTGCGGTGGGTGAGGGGTGGGGGAGGCAACAGGTGTTTTGTAAATAGGGAATTAAAAAAACAACAACAACCACCACCACCAAGATAATGTCCAATTGTAGCTGTATTGAGTAAATCATAAACCTGTATATATCTTGTGCCTTGATGATCAATACACCAACTGCTATATGTATGTACGATAAGAAGATAATAAAACAATATTGCGTTTATCAGTCTATCCTTAACATCCGAACACGATTTAATTTTTTTTCTCAATAAAATATAAAAAAAAACAAAAAAAATAACAATTTGATAATAAAAAACTACACTTAAACATTTTAGAAAATTTATATAATAAGAAATATTTTAAAATATATATTTACTGCATATACTACATTCATAATGGCATGCAAGACTTGAATGAATGAAGGTTAAAAAAAATAATAATAAATATTAATAATAAAAAAAAATCCTCAAGGGACTTAAATAAGGCTACTTCTTAATAAGAGCCTCCTGATGAATGGGTCAGTTGAATGAGTCAGTTGCTCCTTACAGTCCAACCCCGTCTAATCCGACCTAGTTACTTTTTTTCACAATTTTTTTTTAATTAATTTCACATTAGTCCAGATCCCATAGTCCTATCAGTTTTTCTTTCTCTCTTTATCACAACATTAACAACATTATAATAAAAATAAATATATATAAATAATAATGATAACAAACAAAACATCGTGGTCGGATTAATTAAGGTTAGACTGTATTAATATGTATGGCTGTATGTCTCTCTGTCTCTCTCTCTCTCTCTCTCTGTATCTCTCTAATTATCTCTCTCTCCCAGGTGTTCGTTTTACGTTCAGTTCATTTAATGTGAAAAACAACACTTGGTTATTTTTATGTTTCTGTTAAGTTCGTTTAGCTGAAGTGTATAGATACTTTTTTTGGTCTGTGACGTTCAGCGATAACTTCTAAATATTTCGCTTATTTTTGTCTGTTTTTTGGGGGGGGGGGTTATGCTCAGTTGCTACAACATACAGACACACACAGACACTTTTCATCAGCTTGTGTATGTGCACCGCTTACAGACAGCCACCAACACAGACAGACAGACAAACCGTTAATCCACCTATCTCTTGTGTTGATGTTGGCATAATTTGGGTGGGGGGTTGGGGGGGGAGAAAATTCATATGTAAAAATCATCACAAAATTTGAACAAAAATCGAGTTTAAACATTGATAAAACTAGGTTGTACTACATTACACTGAGGGAGTCAAATTAAAATCCTGAAACATGATACGAAATCCAGGAATATAAGAAGCACGCACTCTTATTCCTACACAAACGCACTCTTCATTATTTTACAAGTGCACTCTTTCACTCTTAGACACTCGATATCTAAGAGCACAGAACATACTCTCTAATCCTCCACAAACGTATTCTTGTCGACATAGAGAATTAGATTATTTTTAAGTTAATAAATTTGCATCTTTGGCTCTTGATAATTCATAATGTTAGATCACGTTAGGTGTTTGTTGATTGGGATGATTATGGCGGTAGAATTAGGTAGAGACTATACAGAATATGGATTTAATGTAGGAATAGTGTTTAGTAGACCATTGAGTGGCCCCCTTCTTGATGTAGATGAAGGTGCTAGTCTCTCTCTCTCTCTCTCTCTCTCTCTCTCTCTCTCTCTCTCTCTCTGTTTATCACATCTCCAAGTCTTTTGTTTACCAGCAAACTTAATTTTTATACTTATGTTTATTTATAGAGTACACACACATACACACACACACACACACACACACGTATTCATTAATGCATGGGTATATAATGTGCGTGTCTGTGTGCATCTATACGTCCATATAAATGTGTATATATGTGTGTGTACATTTGTATATACAGTATAGATATAATGTGTACAGTCACGACCAAAAGTCCTCCAACACGTTGCTATATCTGCCCTCAACTTGTGAATTGACTTGTAAATGGTGGATGGAGTTTCAAGCTTATTTATCTTCTTCTCTCTGTCTATATTCCTCCATCTAATCATTTTTCTATCCTTCTATCTCTCTATACCTTTCTTTATTGCCCTTTATTGTATGCCTTCTTTAGCGTCATGTTGTGGCATTTACCTTCTCTCATTACCGTTGATTACAGGTAAGACATGAGCACTTTACTGTTAGATCAGGTAACAACAGGTAATATTAACAGGTGATTACTAACATCAACGGCATTGTATTACCTGTTACCTTACCGTCCAAAACAACAGGTGAAGATCAGATAATCACTATAATTACCTGTACATTCATGATAATTAGTAATCTATACCTGTTGAAGCATAAGATAAGAATTTTCAAGTAGATTATTCATCGTTTTTATTCATTTTGACATTTTATTGTTAGTCTTTGGTCAGATGGGAATGAATAACAAAAGTAATAGGTTTTTAGTGCCCCTGTAACGCGCTATATGTGAGTAACAAAGGTGGGGGTGTATAGGTGTATTGCTAATGAGCTAACACAGTGTTACATAGGTGGGTGAGGGCACATTATGTAACGCACACTCTGTAACGCACACACTATTTGATGCACACTCTTTGTAACGCACACGAAGTAATGTCCACACTATGTAACGCACACTCTGTGTAACGCAGATTCTATGTAACGTACACACTACTTAACGCACACTATGTAACGCACACTCAATGTAACGCACAATCTATGTAACGCACACTTTATGTAACATACAGTCTACGTAACGCACACTACATAATACACAGAATATAACACACACACATATTAAGCACACACTTACCTAACACACACACTAAACACACACTCGTCTTAACACACTCCACATAACACAACCCATATATATATATATAAACCCTAAAAAGCAGCTTAAAAAAAATAACAGCTTGAAAAAACAAAACTAAAATGGCCCCAAAAAATCATAAAATTCTAAAATTACGAAAAGTCACGTCAATACTTCCATGGTAATTGTTAATGTTATTGTTATTGTTATTTTCACCAGCTGATAATGTCCTTCTGCAACCCATGAGTTATATTTCATAATAACAACCTTATTGGTGTCTTTTATAACCTATTTGCAATATATATATTCTTTTGTGTACAGTGGAACTTCTATTTAAAGGACATATCTCTTTATAGTTCGTTAAATGGGAGTTTCACTTTTATCGGACCAACGATATAACGGACTTTCTTCATTATATATAATCCGTTAAATAGAGGTTTTACTGTATAATAAAAACACCTGCTTAGAGAAAGACAGGTGTTTAGTTAAGGTTATTTTATGTTTATTTATTTATTTGTTTATTGTTTATTTGTTGTGTTCAGACCAGCTTCGGTTTGTTCTTCAGGTGAGCTAATTAATTTATTGTTATTTACCTGATTATACCTTTATTCTCTTGCAGGTATTATTTTATTATTGTATTAACCTTTCTATATTCCTCTGTTTTTTTTTTTATATATTTATGTGTTTCTAATTACCATTGTGTATTATCTAAAAAATATTCTTCCTTTTACGTGTGATTAATTTTTATGGTGAGATTAATTGTTATTTAATTATAATATTTCGTTATGATATGTTAAAAATAACATCCATTTATAGAATATGACAGCGTTATCATTTTCACCTGACATCTTCACCTGGCTAATCACCTGGCATCTTCACCTGGCCAATCACCTGACATCTTCACCTGAAACTATGCACCTACATGATGTGTCCTACACCCTCACCACCACCTAGATAGTCTGTGTGTCTGTCTGTCTGTCTGTGTAGGAATTGAAATCTATTAAAATATTATGACAGGCGGATGAAGAATATATTAACACTCAAGGTTCATTACAAAAAGATACTGAATGAATTTGTATTTATCCATACACTGACCCTGTTATTCATCCTATGTAAATACCCTTCTGAAGTTGCGTCAATTGCGTCATATAAAACAGTTGAGGGATTTACAGTGTATTATATAAAACCAGCGTTAAACCATTCCCTAGTTTTAATTCATGGCTAAAACAACTGTCTCAATCAACCTTTATATTCCCAATAGGAAGCCACAAGTAAAATATTCCATAGTACGAATTTCTCTGTTATTCAGTACGATAATAACACGAGCTTACGGTAACCCCAATCCTCCGTTTTTATTTTCCCGTTAACAGTGATTTACGGCGACAATTAAAGACAAAACGGATTCAGATTACATAGTTCAATATATCCTGAGTTGATTTTATTTGTTTACTCTAAGTTAAAAGCTGCCATCATGTCCTAATAGACTCTAATGATTGTTTATAGTCCTCGTTAAAAAAATATGAAATCCCGGATGTGTGTTTGTGTGGTGTGGTCAGTAGGAGGGTGTGTTTGTGTGGTGGGTAGGAAGGTGTGGTGGGTAGGGGGTGTGTGTTTGTGTTGTGTGGTGGGTAGAGGGATGTGTTGTGTGGTGGGTAGAAAGGTGGGTAGGATTTGTGGGCAACTTTGTGGTGCTGGTTGAGGAAGGTGTGGCACTGATGCTGTTAGTGCCAGAAGTGCCAGTCTCTAAGTGCCTCATTGTACAGAGTATTTTTGTTACATTTTCCTCGCCATGCCACAACAGTTGTCATGTCACCTTAATTTGTCATGTCACTATACTTTGCCATGACGTTACACTTTGCCATGGTCCCATACTATGACATATTACCAGGCTTGCCACCCTTGTCATAATGGCATACTAGTCTTGCCATAATTGTCATGTTAGTACATTAATCATACTCACACATTTGCCATGTTGCCACACTCGTGATTTTGACCATCTCTCCACACCTGTCTTGTCCTCACACCTGTCTTGTCCTCACACCTGTCATGTCACCACACTTGTCATGTCCTCAATTGTCATGTAACCTCACCTGTTCAGTCCCACATTTTTTTTTCAATATTGAACTGAAAAGAATTTTAATTTTTCCTCCAAAATTGTTTTTTATTTTGTACGATAAGATAAGATAATTTTACTTATCAATCGATACTTTTTCTTGAATTCGTTTTTTTACTGATAACTTGGATGTTATTTTTCATCTTATCTGAAATTAATTAATAGTATTTTATAGGAATATTTTAATAGATATTTTTTTTTAAGTTTTGTCATAAAAATAATTATGCGTAAATTTTACTATAAATTATAAGAAATATGTTAATTATTATTTAAATATCTTAATTATCTTCATTATCATCTTCTTCCTCCTTTCTCTTGCCCTTCCTCTTCTTTTATGACCAAACTTTACAAACCTAACTATTGTAATTCTCAAGGGAAGAAAATTGTAAAGGAGAGAGAGAGGAGAGAGGTTTAAGAGCATTTCCTACCAATTCCAGCATTTTAGCCCCAAATTTCCATCATTTTTCATAGTATTTGTTCAGGTAAATGTTCATACGGGTTAGTTAACTAGTATGACTTAAACACGTATTGCTGGTATTGGTCATGTGTGGGCAGTCAGGTGTGTTGATTAAGTATTGAAGGGGAATTCACACACACACACACACACACACACACACACACACACATATATGAACAACACCGATAAACACGCAACTCAACTCAACACGGCACGACACGACACGTCACTGCAATCTTGCGTTCTACCCCCTTTCTAATCTTGAAAAATAGTCACAAAAACATTAATATTTGCTATTTAATCACCGTGGTAGTTAAAATTCACAAAACAATAGCAACAAATAGTTCTCCTCTCTCTCTCCCCTCCCACCTGAGACTCCCAATAATCTTATAACTTAACCACAATGAAAATAATGGAATTAATTACATAAGCGACCATAGGGCTAATTTGTTTTCTTCAGGGAAACATATTTTTTTAAGTTTTTGTTTTGATCGTTGAGTTTAGGAATGACTGAACTAAATATATTTATTACAGCGTCTATAAGACAAGGTTTAGTAAGAGTTGATTATTATTATTATTATTATTATTATTATTATTATTATTATTATTATTATTATTATTATCCTCGTGTTCATATGGGGGTTGACTGGTGCTGCTTCTCTGTCTGTCTGTCTTTTAGTCACTCATATATATAAGTTAATGGATATAATTATATTGTTTTTTAAACACATCACACATTTATGTATACTATAGAGACAGGGCTTCATATATGGTGATTCAGGTTGATTAATGTATATATGAATACACATAAATGTGTGTACATGTATGAATATACAACTAGATATCTATTCCATGCAAAATATATACATACATAAATATATATATATGTATATATATATATATATATATATATATATATATATATATATATATATATATATATATATATATATATATATATATATATATATATATATATATATATATATGTGTGTGTGTGTGTGTGTGCATATAAACCTATTTATCTTTATAAATAGTTATATACGGTATTACTAACACATACAATGCTTTATGTACACACACACACACTTTTATAAAGTAACCAAACAATAATAATGAAAACCTTACTACCTGGCCTTACCTGTGCTGGAGGTAATTAGCGTCAGCACCATCTTCAGTACACCTGTTGTCACCATACACCGCTACACCAACATTCTAACACATTATATACCAGTCATCATCACACATTTATTATCTCAACATTTTCATTAATTGAGAATAATTAAGAAAGTATTTTAAGTAAGATACAGAGACTATATGTTACAGTTTTCAAGTATTATGTATTTTTTTTGTAATGTGAATATAACTTTTTCAATATTTTTCGCCTGTATTTTGATGTATAATTTCTCTACTTGTGTGTTAAGGTTATATTATACAACACCAGTCAGCCCTGAAGTTTGTAACACTGTTTTAGGTTTAGCTTTAAGGTTGGTAACACTGTTCTTCCCTTATTGCCGAGGTCCACCACTGAAATATTTATGGAATATGTTGATTAATATTAAATAAATAAACACAAGTAAGAGAATGAAGGGAAGAACTTTGTTAAAACCAAATAATAAAGAAATAAACAACAACTTAGACCAAGGCAGAAGTTATGGAATAATATTAGGCACCAGAGGTTGAAATGTGTCTATATATGGACTCGAACCTAGTGCTGGAAGGATGCCAGTGTGAGCCGATGACCACTCAGCCACAGGTAGAGCGATTGTCGGCTGAGTCTGGCGTCTGGTCAATACTGTGGTTCAAGTTCCTGTATGGTCGTGTTTCATGCATTAATGTTTGGTGATGTAGGCGGACAATGTGTGTGTGCCCAGCACGTGGGGCCAGAACCTGCCAGTAATTGTGTGTTTTTTGCCCACGGGTTCAGGACCGGCGCCCAGGAGACAACAGCGAGGTCCTCCAGCCCGCGACAAATGTAACGGCGACGGAGGACGCAGCGACGCCCAGGTCTCACGAGGACCCACACCCAGGCCCCAGTCACCCACCACCGTGGTCCGTGTGGCAGACATCAAACGAAGTCCTAGTCCCCGGGCCGCGTGTCCCTCCCCCGACTAGTGTCTCCCTCCCTCTCTTTATTTCTCATCCCCGGGATGTTTTTTGTACCATACTGTAATATTTTTTTAAAAAAAGTGATTTTATGAAATGTTATTTGTAGTGTTTTTTTCATGTAATATGATTAATGGTGATGGAAGAGTCATGATAATATTAACCGTAAATAACAGAACTGTAACAACAAGGTATTTCATCAGTCAAATAAATATTCAGGAATTTGTATTGAATTTCTTGTTTATGCAAAATAACAATCTGTCGACGTGACGAGTCAACCATCCAAATTGGACAGTTTATATAAGCAGCTGCATGACACCACAGTCAACAACACGAGAGGTTTCACAGGTGGAGCAACAAAATCAAAAATACTGTGCGGGGAGCCCTCCACTGCACTATGTGTAGTGCGCTCCACTACACACCGTGAAGGGACCTCCACGTCACTATGTGGAGTGCTCTCCACTGCAGTGTGCGGAGGGCTTTCTACCATTATATGTGGAGTGCCTTCTACCACACTGTGGAGAGACCTTCACGCCACTATGTGGAGAGCCCTCTACTCCAATATGTGGAGTGCCCTCCACGCCACTATGTGGAG